CTGAGAACACTGTTGTCTGAGGTAACAGCTAGCAAAGAACGCCGCTGTATGAGATCCCAGTCAGCTGAGAACACTGTTGTCCGAGGTAACAGCTAGCAAAGAACGCCGCTGTATGAGATCCCAGTCAGCTGAGAACACTGTTGTACGAGGTAACAGCTAGCAAAGAACGCCGCTGTATGAGATTACGGTTAGCTGAGAACACTGTTGGTTGTCACAAAGAGAACCTTAAGTTGCGATACATATCGCTTGTATGTTATCTGCCGACCCAGGATAAAGTATTGACTGGTTTAAGTGATCCCTCTAAGGGATTTATTAGTACTTTTTTGTATAGCCATTGACTCTTTCCCTTCCTGTAGATCATATTCGATGCACAAGTTCAGTGGTACTGACAATAACAAAATCATCATGAACTATTCCCACACAAAAACATAATACCCAGTCCTTTTGAAAACAAATACATCTCTAGAGTGCTTTTCTATTTTCTGCTTCTTCTTTGTTCACCGGCTGTAAGTTCCGGAGGAAAAGTTCTAGTTGTTCGTCCACTTCTGGACTCTAGTCCTGTTCCAGAAACTGAGTGTTGCGTGTACATCCGTTTCACAGGTCTGAGTTATTTGCGTGCAGACTGTTGGTTCCTTGCCTCTCAGGCAGATGTAATCCGACTTCGAAGGAAGTTCCTAATTAGTCGACTCTTACGACATGCTTTTGGACAGGCAGTGGGACTATTCTTGTTTTCCCCACAGTGGGACCTTAGAACACACACAGCGATGGCCACTGCATCCAGACCAAGAATTGTAATTTAAATTTCGCCTTTCCGAATGTTTCTTCTTTTCTTCACTCGGGGCAGGCGCAGTTGTGATCATACGAAAACGACCCTCTCAATCTGTTGTGTATAATAATTATAAGTAATCTTGGCAGATGTGTCTAAAACATCTCATTAATTTTCTACACCCAGCAGGGGCGCACCCCACCCCCCCCCCACCCAGCTTTACAGCACCCTGGCCTAGAGCATATGCTGGTTAATACAGCCAATTATCCCACACCAGGGGCTGTTAACTCAAAGATCGTATCTCATTAATTTATAATATTATAATTACTATTGAGAAGAAAATGGCACTGTGCGGATAAGAAAAACGGGATCATGTGGGGGCCGGGGGGGGGGGGGCATAGTTTGGGTGAATGCATTCTTGTCTTCGAAACCTGGATCCGTTTGGTGTAAAGGAATGAACTGTTTTTTTTTTTTTGGCGTCAGCACTTTAGTCGTGCAAAAAGACATGTAAAACAAACTGTGACTGGCCGAAGTATGTGAAATATCCAGTGCCGGTACTCTTAGGCAAAAAGTACAACTCAGATGCAGATATGGAAATCGTTGTCCAATCCCAATATTGGACCCACATTTTCGTTATTTCAAGGCCCCACTCCGGCTGTAGTCGGGGACCCTAATAAAACCAAACGGTTGAACGGGGTTTGTGGGACTTGTGCCTGGGTGATCATCGTGGGAATTATGGCTCTTTGTGTCACCAGGTGTTGATAGCTCGTTGTACGGCCCTAGTGGGTTTGAATCCATACACACAAACAGATACGGAAATAATGAGATGAATTTATTCAAGACGAGGAGTGCATGGAAAAACAATGACAGCGCACTTAGTCATACAAACTGAGGCCCTGGCTGAGACAGATCATAACCTGTCAATGCGCACCTGGAGCGCTCAGCGGATTAACTGGCTTGTAGGGTGCTCATAGATACCTGAATACGGGTCCTTTGCTAGGGTGTTATGTTACCTGTGTTTAAAGCATGTCTACTGCACTCAGCTGCTGTCATCAGACGGGTCGCCACAGACAAATATTGGGCCCGTCCTCCTTTTTCTGTCGTCATATTTTCTAGACAGAACAATGGGCGTCAAAAAGCCTTATCCTAATTCAGGGGCACACTAATAATAAGTATTATTACACTGTGTTGAATGGCAAGTAAATGTGATAATATATTTGAAAGAATTTGAAATGCGTACACATTGTCTCTACAACATAATTTCTTTTTGCGGTTAAACCCAGCTGCAGCCACAATTATTGAGGGGTCAGCCACCGCCCACTACATTTTCTGGGGTTGGGGGGCGGGGGTGGAGAGAGCTAATTACCCTGAGCTTCAAGGTTCCGGCGCTCCTTTATGCTAATTCGTTTAAGTTCCATCATACATCCTTGTTGTCTTGTGTTTGAAACCTCATATGGGTTATTTAATTGATCTGGGCACAACTTGAAAAGGCACACGAAATGTCATCGAAAGCACATATACACACACACAAAAGACGACTTCGCCCTAAGGAGTTCACTTTGTTTGTAAAAACAATTAAAAAAAAACACTCTTGGGCTAAAACATGTCAAAGTGTGATAGTCGCTTTCATTGTAACATGGACCTCAACGTCTTGTGACAGGGAAACTCTCTTCTTTCATGCACGGGAATATCCATGTCTTTAGTCCGACTGTCGCTGCAGGAGTTAAATTTTTCTATACTATTCTCTATAAATGTCTTTTGTCGGTAAACGGAAATGTGTTACAAATCTGACAACCCGTGCCTTCAAACCAAAACCATGACTGATGATGCTAGGAGATACTACATACTGCATTTGTGAACGGCATCTATGAGGTAACCACCTAAAATATCTCCAAGTAATTAAAAAAATTTCTGCTAGTTTTTGACATCTGCTTGGGTCCAGTCACCTCTTCAACCAACCAGTGCTGCCAATAGGATTTTTTTGAAAAACCCAGCTTAACTGAACAAAAACCCAAGCAATACATAAGCGAAAAAAAACAACAGATTGTCAAAAAGTACAAGTTTTATACGAAACGAAATATTTACCCACTTTTATATAAGGATATATTTTGTTTAAAAAAAAAAAAAAACAGATTTCAAAATTTGAACCCAAGGTGTAAAATAAAAACACAGATCTGGGGGTAAATACCCATCATTGGCAGCTCTGCAACTAACTGAGCTATGTGGTGAACTGGGTTATCTGTGACTTCTGGCTGGACTGCCAGAAAAAACCCAGCAATACATAAGCGAAGATCAAAAAAGCAAAATTAAAATACTAAGATTGTTAAAAAGTTCAAACTTTTTAGTTACGAAATGAAATCTTTACCCACTTTTATATATATGTATATATATCTTCTTCTTCTTCTTCTATCATATATATATATATATATATATATATATATATATATATATATATATATATATATATATATATATATATATATTAAAGCAAGAGTTCAAAATTTGAACCCAAGGCGTCAAATAAAAACCCAGATCTGGGGGTAAAACCCATCATTTGCAGCCCTGGCTTCTGGCCGACTCAGAGACTGTCCCAACTCACAGTTATCGACCTTGGCCGGATTAAGACTGTGGCTTTGTTTGAGCCAAGGTTTCCGCTCCCTCCCATTCTTGACTAGGTCATTGATTTCGTTCCACGGTAGTTCATTGTATGCTTGCTCAGTACCCGGACAGTTTTCTCTGACCCTGCTCCGCCCTCCAGCGTAAACAGGCCAGCGCGGTCCGCCGAAGAAGGACAGTTTATGTGACAGCTGGTGAGTGTTGGGGAAGTAAATTTTATGGAAGCCAAAGTTACCCAGCTTTTTAACCCAATGTGGGACCGAGTTTGTACTTGGGAACTGGTTTGAAATCCAAATAGGAAGTCGTAGACGGACAACACAATAGACAAGACAGCGATAGCAGTACCAGTCCAAATTGCCTTCAGATTATGTGTCTGCCCACAACTGGTCATATATCTCTGATCATGACACTTTTATCTATGCTTAAGAATGCGTGCCAAGACTCAAGGGGACATTACAAGTGACAGATCCTTCCCACCCACCCCTGTTACTGTTTCGCATTCTTTCAAATGATACGGTTGGCGTGGCTCACGGACGCACACATGCACACATGCACACACACACACACGCGCGCGCACACACACTGTGTCCTCTACTTTGATGCAGATACGAACCCAGGTCCATCGTGCAGCGTACAAGCAAATTAAGTAAGCTTATTTAACATCTGCTGTCTCGTTCGTCCTCTGCCATTAACATCCTGATAGTAAATAGGCTGGTTGTTGATCCTCCCTTGACAACACCTGTCTGGGTCGCGTTGTTATCCGTGAGTCCCAGAATGAGTTCTGTCAGCCTCAGAATGAGTCCACTAGATGTTAATTAGGCCAGTAATGTGCCAGGGCTGCTAGTCTGTCCATGAACAGTCATGTACCAAAGCTGCTAGTCTGTCCATGAACAGTCATGTACCAAAGCTAACTGGTAATAAATAGCGATAGGGAGAGAACCACTGAATGTTTCATGTTCGTGAGGCATTCATCCGTGTTGGGAGCCGTGATAGAGTGCCCCCCCCCCCCCCACCCTCTAATCGGATTTTCAAAAGGACTAGCAAGTCGGGAGTACAACTCTGAGGGGAGAGAACCGACATTCTGTTAACAAATAAGGCAGACCTGTAAAATAGATATGCAGAAAAACTGAAGGTCTAGAACAAGCTTAAAGTTCAGAAGTGGACGAACAACCATAACTTTCTTCTGGAGTTTAAAGTCGGTGAAGACGAAGAAGTTTTGACTGATTTGGACAAACCTTAAAATGAGTACCAGAAATATCAAGGAAATTAAGGCCACGTCACCGACTGAGTGTCGAAATGTTTATACAAATATGCGGCCAACACGTTTCAAAGTGTGATGGTCTTTTTCATTGTAACAGAGATAGACCACACTGGACTACTGGCGACTGAGTACCTGTTTCTGGGCTCTCAGTGCAGCTGAACCATTTCGCTATTTGATTCAACAGAGTTTGCAAGAATTGTACCGGCCTGATTCTCATCTTTGAAATGTTAATTCTTCTGACTGCAAACTGGAGAGTAAAAGCAAGAATTAAAAACAAATTCTTGTAATAGAGTTAAATCTGCCAGAGCACCTACACAACTAATTGTCTGATGGAGTGTTGTTTGTTCATGTCTCCAGGATCCACAAGGATCGATGTCTTTGGGTTTGAGAATGGAGGAAATTATTTTCAGTCTGGCAGACACGCATTTGTTCTTCAACGATTTAGAGGTAAGTGTTCATGTGACAGTTTACAGTTACATTCTTCTCCCAGTTTACTTTTATTGCCACATGAGATATTTTTTTTATGACGTCAGTGGTAATTGCTGATAATTCTAGTCAAACATTAGCTGTTAACAAGTGGTACGTGTGATAATTCGAGTCAAACATTAGCTGTTAACACGTGGTACGTGTGATAATTCGAGTCAAACATTAGCTGTTAACAAGTGGTATGTGTGATAATTCGAGTCAAACATTAGCTGTTAACAAGTGGTATGTGTGATAATTCTAGTCAAACATTAGCTGTTAACAAGTGGTACGTGTGATAATTCTAGTCAAACATTAGCTGTTAACAAGTGGTATGTGTGATAATTCGAGTCAAACATTAGCTGTTAACAAGTGGTATGTGTGATAATTCGAGTCAAACATTAGCTGTTAACAAGTGGTACGTGTGATAATTCTAGTCAAACATTAGCTGTTAACAAGTGGTATGTGTGATAATTCAAGTCAAACATTAGCTGTTAACAAGTGGTATGTGTGATAATTCAAGTCAAACATTAGCTGTTAACCTGTTCCCATACTCGTCCCCGCTTGCTGTCATCATCATCATGTAGCAGGTCCTTTGCAGAACGTCGCTCCCATCATGGTCTGCCTGAAAAAAAAAACTCGGTCTCTCGCCAGCTCTCCCGCCTTATGTACTTTCATACTCAAGGAGTCACTTATATCCTGTACCCATCTTCCTGTCGGTTGCCCCTGCTCCTCCTTCCTGGTACCATGCCTTCTGCTATAACTTTTTCCAATCCGTCGTGGCGTTTGAAATGACCGAAATATTTCAGCTTCCCAGACTGGATGCTGTTTATTAGCCAATCTTACTTGATGTTCAGATCTTTGAAGATATCAATAGTTTTTCTCATGGTTGTCCAAGATATTCTGCGAATCTTTCTATAGCATTTCAGCTCAAAAGCCCCTATTCTCTTTCTCAAGGACTGAGAGATAGTCCACGATTCACATCCGTATGTACTTCATGTAGAATGTTCAATTAAATGCACTAAATGCGATGGAAACCCCATACTACTCAGGATAGTGCACAGTTGTTGATGTTGGACACAATTAAATGCCTTGCAGTAATCAATGAAACAGGCATGAAGATCTACTTCCGTTCTCCCTGGAGACAGCGACTTGAAGGTTGGACACAATTAAATGCCTTGCAGTTATAATCAATTAAAAAGGCATGAAGATCTACTTTCGTTCTCCCTGGACACAGCGACTTGAAGGTTAGACATCCAGTGACTCAATAAGCCACTTTTCATGTGCAGCAAAAGGCACAGAAGCTTCTAGAAAAGAGAATCATTTAGGTTAATCAAATAACCTAGTGGCGTGCAGTGCATAAAGTATAAGATGCATTGCTTGGCTCAAAATTACAAACAGGCGAGAAAAAAAAGAGATATATCTGTATTAACAGTTATAAAACAAAGAAGAAGAATATGAAATGAGCACAAGATTATGAGAAGTGGACATAAATTACAAAATGGGCACTGCAATGGGAAATTAAATAGGCTGACGAAACGAGAACGTTCAAGAGAAACCCTTTGATGAAAGGGGATAAGAAAAGCCAAGGGTGCTGGGCTGGATTCCATCCACGATATTAATTCTTTGAGTCCCAGGGGGTTTAGCATCAGAGGCCCAAGGGGTAGTCAAGAGAGACCTAAAATCGGCGCACCTTGCGTTTATTGGGCCTCTAGATAGGAACCTATGAACGTATGGTGCGTTCCTTAGGACTCAATAAACTAATTGCACAGGTTGGAACTAAGTGGTGAAATAGACTGAGAGCCTTGTGTGACATAAAGGGACACAACAGTAGGACCTTACCTCCTACATCTACACGGGGTGACAGTAACCAGTGCTACCTACCCAGCAGTTACGGATCGTAAATTGTTCCTGCCCACAACACTTAACTGTTAGGGTGGAAATTGATGATGATGATATGTTGTTATTTTCCGTGTTATTATGAGTACCGTTTGCTCAGCATGTTAGTAACTTATCTTTACTGTTTACAGGAATGTGATCAAGTGCATATAGATGATGTCTCCTCAGATGACAACGGGCAGGATTTGAGGTAACCATCTGTCATGTCAGCATGTGTGTGATAGTTTCACACAGTGAATATCTAGACATCATTTGTATGATAAATTTCACACAATGAATGTCTGGACATAATTTGTGTTACAGAGTTTCACACAGTTAATATCTAGACTAGGGCTGTACCGAATATTCGCTTCGTATTCGCTTCGGGGCCGAATAGTGGACCTAATAGCTATTCGGTATTCGGCCGAATAGTGGCGGTCGGGCCGAATACGAATAGTGATTTCTGCATACACTGCGATTGACTGAAATAACTCTCATTAATATAATAATGTCACAATTTATAGCCGACTTTTCTTGATTTTCGCCGCGGCACCCCTGGCATACACACCCAGTTTTAGAACCTCTGCTGTAATGCCTTGGAGGAGTCAGCAGGCGCTGTTACCACGCAACCGGGTCGCAGTTTTTTCCCGCTACGACAGATTTAGGCAACGCTGCTGTTGTGTTAAAAAAGGCCTGAAGAAACTTGAAAGTTAAAATTTAAATTGTCTTTCCTCGCCACTGTCGAAAAAATTGTTTTTTTTTCCCCCCTCGTTTCACACTCAGAGTGTATGATACTGCATAAAATGTCAACCGCAGCTTGCTAAAAATTGTCTTTGTATTTATCCTGACATGCGACCAATCCTCCATCTGTATTCGTCAAGGTGCAGCAGATAAGTAAGGTTGTGACTACATTTTTTGCTCAGATTTTGAAGTGGAAAATGTGTTCTGAACAATATTAAATGTTAGCCTCGTCAAGAAAGCACATATCTTTAAAGGCAATGCGTTCTTTTTTGTTGCTTTTGTGCGTGTGTATCTCTGTGAGAGAGAGAGAGAGAGAGAGAGAGAGAGAGAGAGAGAGAGAGAGAGAGAGAGAGCATGCATTTTTTCGTTCTTTCGGGGTGTCTTTGCCCAAATCAAATTGAAAATATTTGCGAACGAGAATATGAAGGTGCATTTAAATTACATCGAATGAACGCCTGAACGAACGATGATGTAAATGCGAATTTGGCACATGGATAAAATCAGATGAAAGATGCATTACTAAAATAAAAAAAAATAAAAAATGGGACAGGCAAAAACTGCATTTAAAAAAAAAAAGAACATCTTATGCAATATATCAGTGTCTTGCTTGCTACATACATCCAGTTTGAACATATGGCTATGAGTCCTGGACAATCGGTAGCCAGACCAAACAATTTTTTGAGGCCTTAGAGATGTGGTTTTACAGAACAATGCTTAAAATACCTTGGACAGCCTAAAAAAAGCAACCACTAGGTTTTGAAAGAGGCGGGAGCCCGAAGACAACTAATCACAGACATCAGAAGGAGACAGTCATCATTTTTCGGCCATCTCATAAGATGAGTGAAAATGGAACATGTGGTGACCGCTGGAAAGATTTGTGGAAGGAGAGATAGAAAAAGACAACGAGAGAAGATTCTTGACAGTCTTGTTGCATGTCATGGAGGTGTGTCAGCACACGAACTGTTACATGCTGCAGGAGATCGCAGATTGTTGCGAGGCGAAATCGCCAGTACCAGTCGGCAAGGCACCTGATTATGATGACTCACTATTCGTATTCGGCCGAATAGTGAAAATCACTATTCGGTACAGCCCTAATCTAGACATTGTTTATGTTGCAGAGTTTAACACAGTAAATATCTGGACATCATTTGTGTGTTAGAGTTAATAAATTATCCCCTGTCCACAATGTTCCTATCATACGTCTATAAAACCACCTTTATAGCTTCTTTAAAAAAAACTCACTAGTCCTCTTACTGTATAAGACTGGTTCTATATAGCTCAATAGGTTGTGATATTTATCGTAGTCAATAATAAAAATCAGCGAGTTGCTTCCATTCCATTTAATGAAAAAATTTCCATCAGACGAGATTCATTGCCCTGATCTGCTACACAGGGAAGATCCGGTGAGGTCTTATCAGGCAGGTAGAACGCCGACCTCGGGACGTCAGAGCGCTGGCCACCAAGTACCAGGCCAGAAATGATGGAAAACCGTCGTAGACAAATGGAGACGGCCTTATCAGACCCGAGCCGGCGGGGGAATTCCTGGCCTGATGCCCAGAGATTGTTGGTTGCGTCGGACGATGTTGACATAACATTACACCACTGGTGGCAACACAGCCGCAGAACCCCGGCCTTATCACGATAGAGATGAGTAAACACGGACTCGTTCCCTGGCTCCCTGGCAAGGCAACCTGGGACATGCGTGTCGTCCGTTAGCTGCGATTGCGGTTAGTGCAGTAATTAGTGTAAACAGGCGCTTGCACTAGTCCTTGCTCCTGGAAGGGGTCGGCGTGCTCAAAGCATCGGTTCTCTAGCGAAGTTGGTTAAACCTGACGTTCGCGGCGGCCGGGTGACGAACTCCTTGTGGTCCGGGTTCACTCCCGGGGGTAGGCAGAAAAGCCACATTTCTCCCAGATTAATGGTACCTATAATGGAATCAAGGCCGAAGGGTTGCGATATCCATAGTACCGAGCCAAAGGGTTTACAACTCATGGTTTCTGGATACATTTAAAAAAAAAAAAAATCAAGGAGCTGTTAAAGATTGTAGTGTAGTAGTAAGTGATACATTATAACTATTTGCATGCCACTAACATGTGACGCCATCTTATAGATTTGTCTAGGCAGACATAGCAAATTAACCATAAACTCATTTAAAATGACTGGTGCTTCGATACATTGATCTAGTTTTAAAAAATAATGTTTATACTGCCCTAATATTAAAATACCTAAATAAAGAGCTGTTGGATGAAAAAACCTGAACATTTAACCCCACGTTACCTTCTTTAGAAGAGTCCACTGGAAAGGAAGGGGGAGACGTTATTGTTTGGAAGGAAATTCCACTTTCAAGTAAAGTTAGGGAATCTGAAATTCTCTTGCTTTTGTGTGTATCTTTTTTAGCAACTTGGACCTGGTGGAGGCTCATCAGGTTGGACTTTTACTCAAAGCCTGGCCAAAGAGCTTTGATTCTGCCTTTTTCTCAGGAAGTTTCAGAACTGTGACATTGTCTGGTCACTCCAGTGTTCTTACAGTTTATTTGGTCACTCCAGACAGTGCTCTTACAGCTTCTGTAGTCACTCCAGATAGTGCTCTTACAGCTTGTGTAGTCACTCCAGATAGTGCTCTTACAGCTTGTGTGGTCACTCCAGACAGTGTTCTTACAGCTTGTGTAGTCACTCCAGATAGTGCTCTTACAGTTTGTTTGGTCACTCCAGACACAGCTCTTACAGCTTGTTTGGTCACTCCAGTCAGTGCTCTTACAGTTTGTTTGGTCACTCCAGACAGTGCTGTTACAGTTTGTTTGGTCACTCCAGTCAGTGCTCTTACAGTTTGTTTGGTCAATCCAAACAGTGCTCTTACAGTTTGTTTGGTCACTCCAGACAGTGCTCTTACAGCTTGTTTGGTCACTCCAGTCAGTGCTCTTACAGTTTGTTTGGTCAATCCAGACAGGGCTCTTACAGCTTGTTTGGTCACTCCAGACAGTGCTCTTACAGCTTGTTTTGTCACTCCAGACAGTGCTCTTGCAGCTTGTTTGGTCACTCCAGACAGTGCTCTTACAGCTTGTTTGGTCACTCCAGACAGTGCTCTTACATCTTGTTTGGTCACTCCAGACAGGGCTCTTACAGCTTGTTTGGTCATTCCAGACAGTGCTCTTGCAGCTTGTTTGGTCACTTCAGACAGTGCTCTCACAGCTTGTTTGTTCACTCCAGACAGGACTGTTACAGCATGTGTGGTCACTGTGACGAGCGTAAGCTTGGGCCTACAGTGTGACGTGCTGTAAAGGCTGCGTGGTGATGTGCGGCGTACCAAAGGTGACTAAGGGCATCGCAATGTAACATATGGCATCAACACTTAATATGCCACTGGCCAAGAGTAACACAACATGCTGAATGCTGAAGCTTCCAAACGTAGCGGAAAGAGAACTCTCTTTAAAAGTTCCATTTGTGTATTGACAAATAGCAATGATCAACACAAGGAGAAAATATGCAATTAATAATCCAGACTCATTCAAGCACATCAACAAAAGCCAGCTCGTACATCCATGGACTGATATGTCCTCACGACGGGTCGCAGTCCGACCTTGAGATCCAGACAGTCATCTCTGTCTTCGGTTCCGCAGTCTGAATTAAGTAATGAAAGTGTACCGGCTTACTGCCGAACTGTGACAATATACCAGCTTTCTGCTGAGGTCTACAGTGGAGTCCCGGGGTAAAACGTCCTCAAGGATCCAACTGTATACAACGTCTGCTTCAGTGGCATCCCGTGGTAAAGCGTCCTCAAGGATCCACACATCCGTGTCCTTCGGACTGTAAACATCAACTCTTACTCTTACCATGGCATCCCGGGGTAGAGCATCCTCAAGGATCCAACTTGTTTATCATTCCTTCCATGGCATCCCGGGGTAAAGCATCTTCAAGGATCCACACCAAGGCCGGACCAGACGTCCGCCTTGGTCAAACTTCGACTTTCATCTCCTAGAATACAATTCCTTCACAGCCTGACGTATTGTTTTGACGTCTTATTTGCTCACTCAGTACTGGTGCGTTCTGGTGCACATCCGCACTCGACAGTCACTCCAGACAGTGCTCCTACAGCTTGTTTGTTCACTCCAGACAGTGTTCTTACAGCTTGTGTGGTCACTCCAGACAGTGTTCTTACAGCTTGTGTGGTCACTCCAGACAGTGCTCTTGCAGCTTGCCTGGTCACTCCAGACAGTGTTCTTACAGCTTGTGTGGTTACTCCAGACAGTGTTCTTACAGCTTGTGTGGTCACTCCAGACAGTGCTCTTGCAGCTTGCCTGGTCACTCCAGACAGGGTTCTTACAGCTTGCCTGGTCACTCCAGACAGTGTTGTTAAGCTTGTGTGGTCACTCCTGACAGTGCTCTTACAGTTTGTGTGGTCACTCCAGACAGTGTTCTTGCAGCTTGTTTGGTCACTCTGGTCAGTGCTCTTACAGCTTGTGTGGTCACTCAG